GCCCATCTCTTGGGAAGTAAAGGAGATTCCTTTTCACCATTCAGTTGGATGTTAATTTGTTTTTATTATTGTTGGATATCTCACATCAATTAGTGGTATGATCATATTAATGTTTAAGTAGGGAACAATGTTCACCTTATAAGTTTGTTTTATAATGTTGAGTTAGGCTCCAAACCATTTTCTTACGATGCTGTCAGAACTTATCCTAATGAGTGTTTTGTTAGGCCTATCAAGTCACCCGCAATCAAGTCGTTATTAAATCACCTACAAATGTTAAATTCCAAATCACTTTCTTAAGATGGTGCTAAATCTATCTTAACAAGTGTTGGCTTATCGGGTCACCCACTATTAGACTATTATTGGACCACTCACAAATATCTAGTCTTGCAAATTTCATGTTCAAGATGTCCGGTTCTAAGTATGAAGGGGGCGTGTTGGAGATATCACATCGATTAATGATATAATCATACTAGTGTTTATAAATGGAAGTAATCCTCATCTTACAAGCTAGTTTTGTATGTTTGAATAGGTTCCAAACCACTTTTTTGAGAATTATGTTTTACCAATTGGTATTTTGTGATGAATTGTTAATTCAATATGAATATGATTTCTGATCAACTGGTGCTGTGTTTTCCTGTTTTCCTTTTATCAGAAGAAAAAATTTTCACCCCTGTATAACTGTATTGTTCTCTTCCCTCCCCCCCCCCTCCCCCCCAAGTCAACAAAAAACCACCCCTATTATGTTAATTGGTTATTTATTTCCTTCTATACTTAATTGATGCTTGGGAACTTGTGTTGCAAACTTTTGACTGATTAGAAAACAATCTGTAGGTGCTGGAAAATCAAAAAGTTTACAGAACTTGACAATGCAACTCAGAAAATGCTGTAACCATCCCTACCTCTTTGTGGGTGACTATGATATCTATAAACACAAGGAGGAGATTGTCAGTGCATCAGGAAAGTTTGAACTTCTTGATCGTTTGCTTCCAAAACTTCGTAGAGCTGGTCACAGAGTTCTCCTTTTTTCACAGATGACTCGTCTCATGGACATTCTTGAAGTTTATCTGCGACTTCATGATTTTAAATTTCTTAGACTTGATGGTTCAACAAAAACTGAGGAAAGAGGTTCCCTACTAAGGAAATTTAATGCACCTGATTCTCCATACTTTATGTTTCTCTTGAGCACCCGTGCTGGAGGTCTTGGTTTGAACTTGCAAACAGCAGATACTGTTATTATCTTTGACAGCGATTGGAACCCACAAATGGATCAACAAGCTGAAGATCGAGCACATCGCATTGGACAAAAAAAGGAAGTTAGAGTTTTTGTGTTAGTTAGTGTGGGATCAATTGAAGAGGTGATTTTAGAGCGTGCTAAACAAAAGATGGGCATTGATGCTAAAGTCATTCAGGCTGGGCTTTTTAACACAACTTCAACAGGTTTGTTCTTTGATACTTCTGCTATATCCCGAGACTATCCATGAGTAGCAAATTTTTTTATGAATTATAAAAGCATTTCTTTGCACTCTGTAAAAGGTGGGGCGGGGAAAGAATGTTTATTTCGTAGCTGCTTCAGACTTCAGAGCAAGTATTACCCATGCAAATTGCTGCTTATTCTATTGATGACCTTCCTGAACTAAAAAATTACCATGTACCGAACTGACACTAGAGCCATAAACAAATTATAGAAGTGGTATCTCATGTATTATTCATGGCAGAATAGATTTTTTTTTTTTGGTTGAGCATTTGAGTAGCAATAGTAAGTTGGGTAAGATGAATTTTGCATTCCTAATTGTATTTGACTTGACTTTCTCCTGATTTTGAACATTACTTGGAGATTAAAGAATCATTAGGTCTTTGATTTTCTTATTCTATGAATTACAAACACCAATGAAAAAAAGGTGTTAAACCTAGAGACACACATGTGCCACCATATCATTCAGTCTCCTGTTGTTGTGCTTCCAAAGTCTTGCTAAAATGAACATGTGATATTTTTATTTATTGCAGCTCAAGATAGAAGAGAAATGTTGGAGGAGATTATGCGTAGAGGTACTAGCTCACTTGGTACAGATGTGCCAAGTGAGAGAGAAATTAACCGCCTCGCAGCCCGATCTGACGAGGAATTTTGGCTGTTCGAGAGAATGGATGAAGAGCGAAGGCAAAAGGAGAATTACAAATCTCGTCTCATGGAAGAGCATGAAGTTCCAGATTGGGTGTACTCTCCACTAAATAAGGATGATAAGGTCAAAGTTTTTGACAGTGGTAGTGTTACTGGAAAGCGGAAAAGAAAAGAAGTGGTATATGCAGATACATTAAGTGATCTACAATGGATGAAGGCTGTGGAGAATGGACACGACATATCTAAGGTTTCCGTCAAAGGGAAAAGAAGAGACCATTTCCCTGTAGACAACCATTCACAAGCTAGTGATGACAAGGGGACAGAAGAACGGTTACTAGAGTTAAGGAATGAGAGATCAAGTGAAGACACTTTCGAGGTGAGCCCTGCCTCTAAGAGACAAAGGCATGAAGAAATAAATTCTCAGAAACATGAAACTGAAGGTGTCAGAGTTGGTGGTTTGAACGAACATATATTTTCTTGGAATACTCACAAAAAGAAGAGATCAAACTATCTTGGCCAGGGTTCATTCTCTGATAGTAGAGGGTAGAATGCAAATGGAAGACCAAACTGGAACTAATTGTTCTAATTCAGTCACGGATGCCAGAAATTTTTTAACATTTGAATTGTGATTCTGCTTTTAAATTGTGACTGTCAAGAGTAAATGGTAGATTACTCACCATCAACAATTGAAGATACCAGCAAATTCCTTCCAGGTGTAGTAACATTTATAAGAATTATTGTGAAATATAATTGTTAAAACACATTTCCCTTAGTTCATTACCACGCCTCCCATATGGACGGTTAAGCAATGGAGTTCCATGGATATATCGAAATAAATATCAAATGACTTGCAGAATGATTTATGGGAAATATGTATAAAATTTAGAGAGAAAAAAAACTTTGGAGTGACGGTGATGAGGCATAAGCTTTATGATGATTTTATTGGAGTTTTAATAGAATACGAGAGATTTTTAAATTAGGTATTTGTTATTCTTTGGATTTTTTTCTCTCTTTCGGTTTGGGGTCCTAGTCGTCTGATTTATATGTATTAGTTTCGGTTACGTGAATTTAATTAGATTATTGAAACTAAATTTATAGTCTCTATCATTTTGTGACTATTTTAAACCGTTTATATTTATATTATAAGGTTAATTTATTTTATTAGGTGTTATGATAATTGTGTTAATGTCATGTTAGCATTTCACACTTCTAAAAAAATTAACTAATTTTAAAATAAACATTATTTATTTACCTTCAAACAATTATTAGAGATCAAATATAATGAATTTAGATTTTAGAAAAATGAAAATAAAAAAACTATAAAAAAATAAAATCAAGGTTTATTTATTTTACAAAACTAAAAATATTGTTTTCAAATTTTAAAAGATAAAAAATAAAGAAAAAATTTATAGGAGCTAAAATTAAAACATGTTATTTTATATGGACTAAAACTATATTTAAATCAATTATTAATGTAACTTTTTTTTATTATATTTTTTATCGATCTTTATTTATTATAATTTAAAATTCTATTTAAATTACTTGTAAGTATATACGAGAATAAAATAATTATACATTTTTAATCATTCATTTTTTTAGAAACTAAAATATATTTGTGTAAAAAAAATTAGTTAAATAATTGATTATTTTGAATGATAATTGATTATTTTGTGAAATAATTAATTATTTAGCAAATATTTCTCGGGTTACTAAAAAATTGAACAAATAATTAATTATTATTTAAGATAATCGCTTATTTTAAGTTAAAATTTAATATTTCAATTTTTTTAATCATTTCTCTTTTCAAATTAATTTTATAAGTTATTTTTATCATCAGACATCATTTACATAAAAATATAAGGCTAAGTTATTTGTCAAATACAAAATATACAAACAACAAAACTTTAAATATACAAATTATATTTTACACTCTTTTTTTTCAAGAGACTCAAAATACTAAATAAGATACACTTTATACTCTTTTCTTTTCAAGAAATTTGTATTTGTAATCATCAAAACTAATAACACCATTCTTAAATTTGATCAATATATGACGCCACTAGCAATCACATTAAACCCCCCAAAGAGTTTTAGTAATGCATAATATAACATGCAAGAAATGAGAGGAGTGCACAAGTTAATTGGTGGTAATGGTATTGCTGGCTGTTGATCTTGTAGGGGGTGTTGTCGTGTTGACATATACCACATTTGCTTGCTTGGGAGTGAAACTGCGTTGTTGGCATTGAGCCTAAAATCAGCACCTGCAGCCTGACTGGGTTGCGTGATGTTGGTATGTGTAATCCAACTGAGAATGGCCTGAGAAGGTTAAAAAGAAGAAAAGTGAGCCCCTTCCGTTGTTCACACTTTCAATCTCGAATCCAATAGGACCTATAGCCATCTTCATGTCGAAATATATTTCACAAGGGTGGAGGTACGTGGTTTTTTATGGATTACCATACGTTTATGTTCTCAATCATTATATAACATATTTTAAAGTTTTATAATTTACGAAAAAAATTAATAATATTTAATTACATAAATTGACGGGTACGAGTATACCCGATACTCGACGGGGACGGGGATGGAGATGAAAATTACATACCTGACGGGTACGGGGACGGGGATGAGTTTAACTCGCGGGGACGGGGACGGGTATCATGAAACCCGTACCCGACCCGCCTCGTTGCCATCCCTACTCATCAGTTCGCACCGCCAGCCAGGAGCCCAGGAGGCGCTTGCTCTTTCTCTTTCGCTTTCCATCACTTATTGTCTCATCTCACGCTTTTCAATTTCAATTTTCACCACACTTGTTTGCGAACTCTCAGATTATGTTTTTATTACTTTTTTTTTCTTGCGCCAAACATGTTGTAGACTGTTTTTGACATTATGAAATCAAAGAAGAGCCAAGGTAAACAGAGAAATCGGTAATCGATCTTCGAGTATCTAAACATCCAGCCCAATCAGAATCACTAAATGCTTTAAGTTGTAAAATATTGGATGATGAAAAGAAAACCCCAGCTCTAGGTGAGCCTTTAATGTACCTCAGTATTCTATTAGCTGCTTGCTGATGTGCTGTGGTAGGATGTGAAACATACTGACTTAGATGTTGTACAGCATAGGAAATGTCAGGTCGAGTATTGGTAAGATAAATGAGTCTGCCAATGAGCCTTCTAAAAGAGGAAGCATCAACATCAGAGAGTGGTGAACCAGCTGTTTGGTGAAGTTTTGTAGTGTAATCTGTTGGTGTGGAGACAGGTTTAGAGCCAAGCATTCCTGAATCAGTTAGTATGTCAAAGGCATATTTTCTTTGACAAAGATTGATGCCAGATGATGACCTTGCAACCTCAAACCCCAAGAAAAATCTTAAGTCTCCCAAATCTTTAATCTCCCAACCTAAGATTTTTAGGTCTTTATCTTAACTTGGAAACGGCCCGTTCCAAATTGGGAACGGCCCGTTCCAGTTAAAGTTTTAGCTCTCCTTTGAAGAGTTTGGAACGGCCTATTCCAATCTTGGAACGGGCCGTTCCAATTTAGGAACAGCCCGTTCCAAATTAGGGTTATTGGCCCTTTTAAAATCTTGGAATGGCCCGTTCCAAATTGGGAACGGCCCGTTCCGGTTTTTGGAACAGCCCGTTCCAGTCTTCTAAAATTAGCTTATTTGGGCCTTCTAAAGTCCTATCTTGTCGTTTGCATGTTTCGGGAGCTCCTTCCCTTCATAACATAAGTCCATTTCCTTGTTTGTATGTTCCCGGACGAAATTGGGTGTCTACAAGCCCTCCAACCCATTTCGCTTCCTCAGTCAACTGCCCTGGCCAAGTTCCAGGAGGATAAACTCAACGACTGCACACGCCCGATTCGCAATACTACGCAGTCTTCGTCATCCACTACTATGGCCTCTTTCGCATCCAAACTTCCTTTCAAGCATTTGACACCAGCAGAGTTAGCGTCTCGTCACGAGAAGGGTCTCTGTTACAACTGTGACGAAAAGTTTAGTGTTGGCCACCGTTGTAAGGGTAGCGCTCTATTACTCATTGCTGACGACACGTCTCACACCACTTCTGATCTTGACCCCCCTATTCATGAACCCCCAGAACCCGACGGATACAACCTGGGAGAAATGGGATGACCTACAATCAGCTTTTCAACTTGAGGACAAGTTGCTTCTTCCAGCAGAGGGTAATGATAGCAACCCAATCATTAGTGCCACTCCAGCCCATGATGCTCGGCCCAAGAGACACACAAGAAGGCCTAATTATTTGAATGACTTGAGTACGTTCATGGAATACAGGGTTTGCAGCAATGTGTAAAGCTGATTTGTTATCACAATATAAAACGGCCGGTTGAATGAATGAAATGCCAATGTCTTTTAAGAGGAAAGTGAGCCACTGCAACTCACAAACAACACTAGCCATTGCACGGTATTCAGCTTCTGAGGAGCTTCGAGATACAGTAGCTTGTTTTTTGGATTTCCATGAAATCAAAGAAGAGCCAAGGTAAACAGAGAAATCGGTAATCGATCTTCGAGTATCTAAACATCCAGCCCAATCAGAATCACTAAATGCTTTAAGTTGTAAAATATTGGATGATGAAAAGAAAACCCCAGCTCTAGGTGAGCCTTTAATGTACCTCAGTATTCTATTAGCTGCTTGCTGATGTGCTGTGGTAGGATGTGAAACATACTGACTTAGATGTTGTACAGCATAGGAAATGTCAGGTCGAGTATTGGTAAGATAAATGAGTCTGCCAATGAGCCTTCTAAAAGAGGAAGCATCAACATCAGAGAGTGGTGAACCAGCTGTTTGGTGAAGTTTTGTAGTGTAATCTGTTGGTGTGGAGACAGGTTTAGAGCCAAGCATTCCTGAATCAGTTAGTATGTCAAAGGCATATTTTCTTTGACAAAGATTGATGCCAGATGATGACCTTGCAACCTCAAACCCCAAGAAAAATCTTAAGTCTCCCAAATCTTTAATCTTGAAAGCAACATCAAGTAATTGAGTAATGTTTGTAATTTCAGCCAAGTCATTTCTTGTCAACACTATATCATCCACATATACTAGTAGTGCAGTAAAAGAATTGAAATTATGCTTTAAAAATAATGAATAATCAGTAGAACATTGTTTGTAACCATGAGAAATAAGGAAAGTGGATAGTCTAGCATACCACTGCCTGCTAGCTTGTTTTAAGCCATATAAAGATTTATGCAAGCGACAAACCTTATTCGATTGATTTTGATACATTCCAGGGGGAAGTGTCATGTAGACCTCTTCATGGAGGTCACCATGAAGAAAAGCATTATTCACATCAAGTTGTTTCAAGTGCCATTTCTGAGTGGCAGCTAAAGCAAGAATAAGTCTTATTGTGGTGAGTTTAGCCACTGGAGAAAAGGTGTCTAGATAATCTTGACCTTCAATCTGTGTATATATCTAGCTTTATATCTTTCTATAGTTCCATCAGCTTTGTGTTTGATCTTATAGACCCCATTTTGAACTTTTTCTCTAATAATATGACAATCGATTTCAATGTGTTTGGTACGTTCATGGAATACAGGGTTTGCAGCAATGTGTAAAGCTGATTTGTTATCACAATATAAAACGGCCGGTTGAATGAATGAAATGCCAATGTCTTTTAAGAGGAAAGTGAGCCACTGCAACTCACAAACAACACTAGCCATTGCACGGTATTCAGCTTCTGAGGAGCTTCGAGATACAGTAGCTTGTTTTTTTGGATTTCCATGAAATCAAAGAGGAGCCAAGATAAACATAGAAACCGGTAATCGATCTTCGAGTATCTAAACATCCAGCCCAATCAGAATCACTAAATGCTTTAAGTTGACCCTTACCTTAAAAGCCGGTTTTGTAGGGTTGAGTTAGGCCTAATCCACTATTCTAACATACATATCTTATAAATATTAATTAAAAATTATGTAATTGAGAACTACTTAAAATACTTTCTGGTGATTTTGTCTTTCTCTTTGCCGTGAATGAAATAGTTTATTCAAAAAACTAAAGTTGAGGGTAGGTGGGTAAGTGGAAACGGAGCATTCACATTGTGGCCTGAGGATTTAATAAAAAAAGAGAGATTGAGAAATAAACCCAACAAAAAAAAAATGAAAGAAAAGACGATAATTACTAGATGCTACTATGTTAAAAATCCTTTTAAATAACCTTAAAACACATTTGAGTCTTTTGCATCCTTATTTTCGCAACCCTTTAGCCACATCATATGCTTAACAAAGTTCATTATGAAAAAAAAAAAAAAAAAAAATTGGTTGCTCTTATTCTCCTAAACTTTAATCTCCATGACAGAACATCTTTGCTCACCTGTCATTTTTATTTCATTTGCCAAAAAATGAAAAAGAAACAACATAGAAAGAAGAGCATAAAATGAAAAAGAAGAGAAAAAAAAATATTGTTTTCAGGATTTGTCTATCCAAGATATTTTCAAGAACGATAACTATCATTAATTGTATATAAAAAGAAAATATAAAAAAAATTGCACAACAAATCTCGTGGCTAAGTCATGAATGTTGAATTCTTGACAGATAATTGCTTCACATATCATTTTCTGACATTGTCAAAATATGGAGTATCTTCCCAGTTCTCACTTTGCATGTATTCAATGTTTGCACAACCCCTAATGTCACAAATTTCAAACTGGGCAAATACTCAAGAAGTTTTTCAAACTGGGCATACATCACTTTCCCTTGGATATAAACTAGTATGTCCCTTTTCATTTTATTATTTGGTCTTGACATCACCGAGGCAATTGATTCGATCCCTTATTTCATTATTTTATTTGACCGTATAGAAATTAGAACCCTTAGCAGTTGACTGATGACATTGTTAAATGTAGATTCCCACCTTTGCTTATAAGTAACTCATTGTTTGTTCAAAGTGTTATCTTGTGATAAAAATATATTAAAATGTGATTTTTTTAATGAGTTAATAGCTTTAAAAAACCATTAAATTATTTAAAAAAATTCAAAAATCAAGGAAAACGCAATGAATCCTAGATAAGGGATAAGCATTTGGTAATTCAAAAATCAAAATGGTCAATATTGTACGTAGCAATAGCCCACTTAAAAAGAAGTCTCGTTCATTCCTCGCAGAACAAAAACAAAATTTAGATGAAAAAAAAAAGAAGAAAAGATGATGGCGTATTTTCTTTTAGTTAGTTAAAGAAAAAATAGAAGGAAAAAAAGACAGAAGTTGACTTTATAGATTTAAAATTTAATTTCTTTTATATAGTATTCCTGCAATTTAAATTTAAATTAATTATTTTCTCTTCTCTGTTTTCTTTCCTTCATTTCAAACAAGTCAGGTATCTTAGTATACATCTAAAACCGTAAAGTCCAAATATATAAACTAAAAGATTATTTTGCCATCACATATCATGCATACATTACATCACAATCTCACATAATTTGTTATATAACACGAACTAGTATTTATATTTCGGCCAAAAGCTGGAAATATGCCTCACACCCTTTACTTTTTTATTTATTTTTATTATTTCATTTACATTGAAGTAGAAATCGGGATTAAGGTGCTCGCACCTTTTTTTTTTCTTCCAAAAAAAAGAATAATGATTCAAAGCAAACTTACCTAAACACTCATAAAAAAATCAAAAAATGTTTGTGGACCTATCCTAAGTGGTGGTGATTAAATTATAGCTTTCATTTGTTCTTATTGAGGCATTATTTTGAAGAGATGTTTTTAAAATGTGCGATAGTTACATATGATTTAATAATGGCTAAAAACTAAATTTCGTTCTTTATAATAATTGTTTATTTTAATTTAGTTTCACTTTTATTTTTTTGTCTCAATTTGATTCTTAATAAATTAAATTATTGTAATGTCGGACTTCCGTTCAAATTATTTAGACGGAGTTAACTGTTGGTCACGTGAATGCCACGTAGATGTCACGTGGAAGCTACGTAAATGCCAAGTGGATGTCAAATTTTGTCATGCATCTGGAATCAGAACGGCCCGTTCTGGTTGCACTCATGGTGTGTAAATTTTGCATCTGGAATGACCCGTTCCAAATGCATTATTTAACACCAATGCGTGCAGAAGAACGGGCCGTTCTGAAACCAGAACGAGCCGTTCTAGCTTCCAAAACGGGCCTTTTTGGATTCAGAACGGGTCGTTCCAGAACGTCAACCAACATAGTGCACCAGTGTAGTTCAAAAATCAAAAACAAGCCATTTACACATACACAAATTTTTTTATCTAAAAAATAATATAATTTAAAAAATAAAAATTATATTCC